AACTGTCGTCGTTATTTTTAACATTTATATTCGGAAATGAGGGAGTCCTTGTCTGCCCTGCGATCTAAATCGCCGTAGACGTCCTTGGTGCCAAAAATAAGATAAGGGTAAAACTGCATAATTGACTGACTCATTCTAATCTTGTTAAGACGATTCACCCTGAATTTAGTCATGGTTAGCAATCACTGAAAAAAGGGTTAAAATTGCGTGCACCATCAAGAAAATGTTGACGCAAAACGTAATTTTTAAGTAAAATTTTCAAAAAAGCTGATAATTTCATATATATGAAAGAAAGATTAAACCATAACAGAAACGATAACAAATCTTTAAAATTTGACATAATTTCCGCAGCTTAAACTACACATTATGTGTGATTTATATCGAGATTGACAAATAGATACATATTTGCGCGGTTGATTTCTATATTCTGCACAGTACTGGATCTATCGAAAACTCTCATAACTGCATATTACGACCGGTCGATTCTTGAAAACTCCGGCAGACACGATAATCTTCGTTGAAAGGTTAGCAGGCACACTCACGATTTCGCAGACCCTGCAGGCTTGCAATTCGAGTTGAAGGATTAGGAAATTCACGTAATTATCACGGTCCCTGGGTCATTGACCTGGGTGAATGCACACAGCTATCCATTACGCATTATACACTTGTTAGATTTTCACAGAAACTGGTTCGCTTTGAAATTTAGTTTACATATATCACCGACAAAACCTTCTCGTTGCTACACCTATGCCTGTATTTTGGGTATCGAAACAAGTATGGAAAAGCTAGGTAGTAAGGTAATATTATGACAGCGTCCACGAGGTGTAAGAAAAATACGTGTGCGAAGAGCAAACAACGTAAGGTATTGAGCAAAGGCCGGAGTAAACGTACCGCAAGCGAAGTGAGTTCACGCGCGTAGGTAGAGACCGACAACGTGCGAAGAAATCTAACCTTTCGAAAGATATTGCATCGTTTGCTTGTTAACGCTTAAAAAACTCGGATGATGTTACAAAACTAACATACAGATTATTACTTAAAACACCATGTAATAATATTTTGCGTGATAAAAAATAGAGGGGGACATTCGCTTTCAGTTGCCTTCGAGTTTCAATTATCATAGTTTCTTCATTCTAATTTCTTCACTTTATTTCTCATCTCTTTATGTTATTTTTTAAACTTAAGTTGCATATATTTTAACGATATATAAAAGTGAATATTCGAAGCCATTTCAATTTTATAATCGCATTGTCGACTAGGATTATACAGTGCTACAAAAATCGATTAAAATTTCAAGACGCTAATGTCTTCCTACATGCGTATGAAACGTCACCTTTCCGTGGAGGAACGAATCGCTGCGTGCGTGGGCGAGGGAAAAATCGGCCGTGCCCCGAAGGCCCCCTAATTTAATTGCCGGTCTTTACATCGCGAAGGAGCGCGTACTACGACGTGGTGGGCGTATATTTCGTACGCACGTGTATACACGCGTGCACGCAGGTGTACCGCCGCGCCGTGCGTCGGTACCGATAATAGTACGGTTATAATAACAGAGAGTGGCTCTCTCGTACACGAGCCGGCGCGGCGTTCAGAAACGCCGACGCGCTGCCGCTGGAAAGCCGCGGTGGTCGGACCGGACTTGAAGCACCGGCGGATGCATGCATCGGGAAAAACATTTTCTCGTCGTATCTCCCATACGATCTTCGTTTATAGACTGGTCCAATGATGTTCTCGCTTCTTCTACAGAATGTCTGTATGAACCAAGAATTATATTCCGAAGCTCTTACACTGTCGTAAAAACTTCGTATTTCTTACAATTATTTTTTACAATTTAAATGTGAGAGTCGAATATCAGCTAAGTACAAGAAATAATATTCTGAGTTATATGACAAAAAGTGTTAAAACTCTAGTTCTTGGCGGAAATATGTAATAATTCTTTTTATTTACTGTATTAAAAAAAAGCAAGGGGCATTATTTTTAATAGACAGTACTTTTGTAAGTTTAAGATTTCATTGCTCGTCATGTCTACCGTATACATATGTATATAGGTACTCGCGGGTATCACCTAACACACATGTATCCTTAATTTACGTTTACGTGCTTATATCGTTTTACGAAGGTAGGAATGGCGCTCCGCTTGAAATCGTTCCATGCATGGAATATCCTATCGCGTTTAAAGTGCCGCTTTAATGAAAATGCCATAGCGTGTCTCCGCGGGTGGCTTACAATTAGTGTTATTTGATTGCCGGTCTCTCTTAACGTTCGTCGTTTTTTTTTTCCTTACCAACCACCGATTTACTCTCGACGTATTTCCGTTCGCGATTAGCGTTATCGAAGTCGAGATGTCGAGATGTCGAGTCGAATGGAAAATTCTACATGTATATTTGATGAAATTGAGTTATACCTTTCCTATTAATTCGTAATTGATTGAAATGAACCGACGGAACTTCCACCGTTTCGCGATGAGCGAAGATCCCGGCACGCAATTACCCGTACGTTTATTTTTGCGACTTGTGAAACGCGCGCGCGTTTCATTGTAACGGCGCGGCGAACGATATGCAAATACGGTAGCGAGTGACGTGAATTGATCACGTAATGACTCGCGCTAGCGAATTAACTCGTCTCCTATCGTTACCTCGCGTTCTTTGTGGCTTGTCCGCAAAGAAATTCGACTCGATCGAAATGTACAATTAGCAAAATCGTTGATTAACATTTAATTCACCCGGGACAGTTTATCGCTGATGATATTGTATTTTGGTGTATATGTGGTGAACACTGCACATCTGTTAGGACAGCTTGTCCGATGCACATGGTATGTGGCTACCAGAGACTTGAAATATGAGCTCTTCGCACAAATGCTGGTCTCGTGCCACCTACATAGAATTTTTTGCTTTTTAAATTGTAATTTTACTCCTTCGCATCGTTTAGAAATATGTGCCTCGGTATTTCGATATTTTTTCCCACGAGATTCCAGAATATTCTGTAAAAATATATACATATAATTGATTTCAAGTAATTACTGGAATCAGATTTCTTCGGGATTAGCAATTAATTTTTACGATTTATCCCGTCATTATCGTAATACATTATTGTTATTGGTAATAAATTTTATAATTTATGCGCCTTTTAAAACCAGAAAGTTTTACGTTTTACATGACGAAAATATTTTACAGAAAGACGCCAATTTAAATTAAATGTCTAAATTCTCGTTATGTGGATAGTATTAAATCCGAGTAATGAATATTCATGATTTGTATATTATACGAATAATTTGTAATGGCTGGATTTCCTCAGAATTTGTAAACGTGCCCGGAAATATCACTTGCTTTTATAGCGATTGCAAAACAATATCACAACGATATCGTGCAACAGTCGTTTCAACGTGCAATGAATATCACGATTCGAAGCTCGTTGTAATTTTAACAAGTGGCTAACACTGCGTCTGTTATTACCGGCTTAATTGCCGGGTCGTGCCCGAGATATCGTTGAATCGATGGTGGTACCCGCGGGGCGTCCGTCGGGGTCCGGAACCGAGGAAAAAGGCCGTCCTGGAGAATTAATAAATCAGCTAGTCGGCGAGGAGGAGAAATGTTGACCACCGTGGCGTCCCTCCATCATTTCAAGATTTCGTATCTCCCGATCTTACGGCATCCCGGGACGAACAAAACTGCCTAATAACCATCGCCTTAAACGGAAACCCTCCTACATTGGCTACATTCCGTCGTACTAACGTAGAAGACACAAGTTTTTTTTTCTTTCTCGTAAGTCGCCCTACTTATTAACAGTGCGATATGATCCACGAATGCTTTTGACTTTTTTCTTTTGTAAACTTATCGGGTTCCATATTCCATGGGGACAAGTAGTTGGCGATAATGAGGAAAAAAATAAACAGTGATAAAATAACATATTAGGGGCAGAGTACAAATATTGCAACTTATCGCAACATTATCGGACCTCCAGCAAGTTGATTTAGAATGCTTCTCAAAAGGATAGCGATAATGTATATCAAAAGTGACATAAATTAAAACAAGTCAAAAAAATTCTATTGCAAGGTTATAATTTAAGAAAATTTTGTTTGATAATGATGCGAGAATTATTATATTGCTAACTACGAATTTCAAACTAAATAACAAAGATTCCTATTCTGATCATAATTCATCTGGATTATTGCAAGGTTATTCTCTCTTTTTCTTACAATTGGTTATAATTAGTTATAATTACTCGAGAACGATAATACTTGGATACTAAGTATCATTTTATGAGTCAATCGAGTGAGTTAAATTTTCTACATATGTACGTAAGAGGAACACTGTAATTCCTTTTATATATCGTAATCTAAAGTGTCAATAAAATATTATCAAGGCACTTTTTCTGTTTGATTCAAGTTGCTCATTAAAAAAATTGATAGCCACAAAACAGAAGGGCCATGTGCCACCATATTAGAATAGATTAGGTTAAATGAATCAATATCACACAGTGTTCTCTCTCTCGTTCCCAGCTTCCTTATAAATTCCATTATATCTTTATTGGATTTTTAAACAACGCATATATTGGAAACTTCATAAATATAAATTTATATTTATACTATAAAAATTTTCAATATATGTTATGCCTGATATATATCATTTGTTAAATATTATATGGACCAGGTTATCTCTTTGTTTAATTTTTCATTTACTTTGTTATGTCAAAATGTCTATGAAAGCAAAATGAATTAGCTTTTACAACTTGTTATTCTTCCAAGGAAATTACTTTAATAAGAAACATAATCAGAAATCGCATCTTATTTGAACATAACGCACTTTTTTATTTTGCGAATCTACATGTTCACGCTTGCTTCCTGAAATCTCCTTAAAGAAATTGTTCCTAAAGACTCAGCGTACAAAGAACCGTATTCCGAAAAGTCTTTCGGAAGGAACAATTCAAATACATCGAATGTTCGCACAATTCGTCACAAGATTACCACGAAAAAGGTGTTGCGGGAAACTTTTCGAGAGGAATCTTACCTTGACAAGCAGGTGGATCGGTTGACTGACGCTGAGTGGCTTGCCCCTCCTGGCCTTCCCACCTCCACCACCCAAACACTTTATCCACGGCATTCCTGGAGAGTTTCCTCGCCTCTGCCTGTTATTCGCAATTCCTTCCTCTCTTCCTCCTTCGCTTTCGTGTGATTCTCCTTCGGCTTCCGTCTTCTTCTTTGGTTGCCTAAGATTCCCAGGACTTCTCACTTGTCTTCTCGAGACTCCTTCGTGTTCGATGCATCGCGCGATCTATATCGAGACTTCCTCCAGTCCGGGGAGCTTACGATCGTAGATTTCTTTTAAATCTGTCACACTTTTATCGTGGAAATCGGAAAATCAGTAGTTATATCTTGAAAGTCCTAGACTTCGCTGATAATTTGAATGTTTCTGAATTGTCTCGATGTTTCTTTCAATACTCGATGCGGATAATGTTCTTGATAACTTTATTGCAGAAAGTCTGAAGACAGTCCGTGCATAATTTACGGAATTTTTTCCCTTCACTGAGCCCCGAAGAGAATATTTTCATGCGATGCGATTTATATTTTTACGGTAAAATGAATTTTTATTTTACGAGGTACTTTCAAGTTGTTCGCGAACAGGATTTCCGCGATTCTAGTCTTCGCATTTTCACGGGAGTTGCCGCGGGGCGGTAAACTTTCAGTGGAGTAAGTACGCGAGTGGGTGAGATTGCGAAGATCTTTCCGGAACGCTTGTAAAGAATTGGTTTCGTCTCAGGTGTAATGGAAGCTTTATCTACGCGGTAACTCCAAACTCTTCGAGAATTTCATAATAGATGTGTTCACACCTCCGCGGAAGTATATTCAGGGTCAATCGGCGTGAATGTTTTAAAATACCACGGAATACCTCGCGTGAGGTACTACAATAGGTACACGTCTCGAATAATCTTCCGCCCTTTGAGAATTCTTCTCTTCTTTTCCTTCCGTGCTCTTGATGCTTTACTTGAAAACGCTTGTAATCGATTACGTAGAAAAACGACGATACGAGTATGGTTTCGATTAACTATTCTAGTAAAAGCAATTAGCAATGCAATAAATGCAAATATCATACAGTTCGTTCGATGAAAACATTCAATTTTGTTATTGCTTCGTCATGTGATTTCTGTTTTTGTTTAATTAAAACGTTTGTTGCATTTCACTCGGGTACAGTTGCAACTGTTTAATTATTTCCCACGGTAACTTTTTTCATTAATTTATTAATAAAGTCCTGAATTTGTCGCGTAGATTAAATATTGATTATTTTATTATTATAATATTGTCCGTAAAATAGCAAATAGAAGTAGCAAATAGATTCACACTCTTGTCGCAACTTTTTAATTTATAATTTCTGTTCGATTTTTCAATTTTTTTTTCTTTTTTCGTTTCGTTCTGCGTCGAAGACTCACGAGAAAATCAGTGCACATCGATTTCCCGTGTCGATAGAATTAAATCCGATGGAATGCCACGATCGTCAGACACATCCCATGTACTCCGAGAGCCGATCCCGCTTGGTTAATTCTGTCGCATTTCCGGCGTAATCCACACCATTCCTGTCGCTCGACGCGATAACGCGAGTCCACACAGCGGGAGGGAAGAAACGGGAAGAAAATGTTGTTACTTCGGAGCTGCGCGCGAACGGAGTTTTCCTTCCTGGCTTTTCCCTCACGTGGCACCGCATCGGCGTGAAACGAGCGACGTCCGCTCTCGCGCGCGGCTCTCGCAAGACTGGCGGCTGTCCAGTTCGCTATCGTCGATTTTATACGCGCCTTGTCAGCGCACCCGGACTGGGTCGCGGTTCGCGTTATCGCGGAAAACGTTAAAGACGTGCACACGTCAGTCGCTTCTTCGATCGATCTTCACTCTCGCGTTGCAACGTGCATCTTATCTTCGCGGAAAAATGCACAGTGTGCAAAAATAGGCGTTCTACAAGTCGCGAAAAAATTTTTGAGTGATCGTGCTTTATTAAATGAACTTATCCGTACGATTGTCAAAACTGTCACGACGATCAATATTATCAAAGCCGGATAAATTGCGACAGTTTCACGCACAATGACATAAAACGACTTTGCTCCAAACACAGATTGGGCTCCGATTTTCGGTAGGCTGTCATGAAATATTTATAAAGTCATTATCGTTTATCATCGTTCATTCTGGATATATCAAAGGCTTATTACATTATCGCATTGCGTTACACGCGCATGCGATCGTACACCGTCATTTCTCATCTCATAACGGCGGCACGTCAAACTTTAATCGATGCGTCCTGAGAAATTCAGATCGTAGTCTTCTATTCTCATCGATCATAGTATGTTATAAGACAGCGTCTGGTCTTTTCCTCCGCGCGCTATCGTGCCAGGAGATTTAATTAATTTTTTATCATGATTCACAAACTTACAGCAAATTGTCGCCAAAAATTCAGCTCACTCTTACGGCTTATCATCATCAATACTGTTTGCAGATCCCATCGTAGTCTTCTATCGTTGCACCAATATCTTCAAATGTATAATTAATGCGTAACCACGTTCCGATCAACAATAAGTGCCATCTTATGATATTATGAAGATGAAGCGCATTCTGAAGGCCAAACAAAACGCTTTGCCAAACAAGAAAGTAGATCCTGTGGCGTTGAGGACCTAATTGAAAAATATCAGAACCTTGTTATCCCTTCCGCTTGGCTCTTTTCTCTCACGTCGTTTCATATCACGAAATTATTAATGTGCGCGCGATACGTTGCTACGTCTCGATCGTTACGCTTACACGAAAGTCGTGTGTCGTATCGCGTGCCGGTCGCTATTATTTACGGCCCGATCCTGCGTTACGATGCACGGGCCTCACGATCTCCCGTCGGGGCCCACCCCGGGTCAGCGGCACCCTCCCGTCGCGGAATGCGGCTCGACAGATCGCGGACGTCTACGTGTTTATACCGATAAACTCGTTACCGATTCTCATCATCCATTAGAGAAACTTCCTCTTTCTCCCTGTCTATTTCGCAGCTTAATTAATCGATCAGCTGTCTCAACATGACCGATCGGAATCGAGAATGGCGCGTGCGCGACCGGATGGCAGACAAAGAGAGCGCCTATATTTTTTCCTACGCGCGATGATCCCCGCCGACCGGTTAGCTCCGCGGTCTCCCGACGACTAACAGAAAATGCCAGCCGGCACTACGAAGAGAGCCCAGAGAGCGGCCCTATACCGACCAGGCGGTCCGAAGGGACCGACAATCCATGTCGAATAGCAGCCGCGGCTGCTTGGCTCGTAGCATCTGCAACCGTTTGTGGAGTCTCCACGATGTCTACGGAGGCACGCCGGCGGTTTCGAGGTCGCCGAGCATCGATTCAGTTCCGGTTGCGCCGCGCGTTTACGGCACAACTTCCGCGGGGATTACGTCGGAGGAAGTTAGCCCTTTGTGCTCCGACGACGGTATATATAACGTGCAGGTGCACCTATGCACTCTCCCGCTCGGTTTCGCGAGTTAAGCACGCCACGTGGAGGTTTGTCAGATAGTTAAGGTATGTGGGAGGGTGAACCGCGCATAGAACAATCGTTATTGCTTTCGATATGCGTTTATATATGTAGACTGCTTGAGATCGACTTAAAGTGAATATTTTCTTTTTCAAGAGACATAAATAAAAATTATTCCGATTCAAAGTACTCCATGAAATTATAACACATCCATGGAGAAGTCTTATTAGTATAGAGTATTATTTTATCGAGTACTTTGAATCGGAATGATTCTTGATATCACAAAAATGTTAAAAACAGCATATCCCCCCCATTGCATTCCATCCATTCCCAGTGATAAAAGTACATCAATATGTACTCCACAAATTGATAATAAAATCAGATGTACTGCTCAAAACGCAGTATAATGCTGTTTTACAAGAAGGGTGTCAACGAGAAACACGTTTACATCTCCTGTTGCAACAACGTGCCTATGCGCGCGTGTACTTTGTGTGTTCTTTACGACAACGCGGCCATAAAGTCAGTGCCGTATTAATCTTTGTCTTTATGCTTTTATCGCGCGACATAAAGATGATACGGCAAAATAGCGAGCAATGAATAAATATGAAAAATTTAAAACAACATTTTTCAAACCTCTTTGTTTAAAGTTATAATAGAATTAAAGAAGCTTATAAAGTAAGGTAAATGTATCAAAAGATGCATTTTTAAAAAGACAAATTTGAACATTTAAAACGCTTTTAAAGTTAAAATTATAAACGACATAAATGTATATGCTTATACATGAATTAAACTGTTGGAAGAATATAGAAGAATTATCTTGATCCATCACACAAGATATATATATATGAAGCAGTATTCAGTAAAAGAGAAAAAAGGTAACATGTAAATAAAATAGTTGACAGTTTGCATAATTTGTGTGTGAAAGTTGATCTGAAATTTTCCGCCAACAAATTGCAACATGCCCGAAGCCTTCTACTATATTAGCTTGGCTAAATGGCGCTAAAATTAATCGGCTCGAGAGCACCTTCGGCGATTCCAGCTAAACGAGTTATGGATCGGCCGCGGAATTTTAGTTAATCCATTTATATGCGCGCGAATTTTCGAAGACCGATGATAAAATACCGCTCGCGCTACATGCATTAACGATATCGAAACGCAATCCAATTTTGCAGGCTCTACTATAATCGCCATGTAAATTCTGGTCGCGTTAAAAAAATCGCTAAATCTTCATCCCCGCGCGATTGCGTGATTTAAAGATTCCCGGCTTTGCTGTCGAAAAACGAGCGTGCAATTTTCCGGGCGGAAATATTTTACGCGCGCGGTAGCCGCGAGTTTTCTCGTCTTTCTTTACGACGCCCGCCGCTGGTGGAGTCGCTAATTAAGTTTGCACAGCACTGCCATAAGACGAAGAAGTATGTAACTTTCTGTTCAGGGGGAGGTAATGCGAGTGGAATACTTAATATTGGGTGCGTAAGCCACGGTATACTTACGTAAGTTATACACGCGCACACCGGTATACAGGACCATTCATTTACTGTCATCACCTTGATAAGGTTCTTGCGTAAGATTCAAATATTTTATTTGATATACTATCAGGATTTAACTGTACGCGAGCATAAAGTTGCGGATAATCCTTTTTTTCTGTAGCTTCGTGTCTTTCCTGAAGATCGACGTTGTATTAGCGTGCCACCCAGCCAGCTACGGAAATGATTGATATACCATGAATTACATCAAACTTTATGTTGTACACGAAACTGCAATATCGTGTAAATCGATGCATGACGATGCATTGACCCGAAGCTGCGCGGCTAGCTCATCTTCCTCGCTTAGCTCGCCGCCAAACACAAAGACGCATTTTGCTATTAACGCGAGACACAGCACGGCTTGACGTATAACGCGAACGATCACCCCCTTCCTGAATAAAATGCAATATCGTAGTGCTCTGGAGTACACCTATGTGTGATGCCAATGGCGTATGCAAAGGGAGAAGCTACAATCCGATCTGTAGAGTGTATAGGATGAGTAGGATCTGGCCAATTTCAAAACCGCTTTTGTTCCTGTTAACTTTCGCGTTGCTCCGGATAGTCAAAAGGATGCGTGGCTAAACCTTAGAAACCTTAGAATTTTGCATGTTTAACATATTTGCTTTTTCTTTCTCTTTGAAAGTATATTCTACTGGTATAAGATAAATTGTACTGAACATTGGAATAGATATTTGCAGTTATTTTAATAGTAAATTGCAAATAAAATATATAGATACTAATACACGGAGGAATTATCTTACTAGTAGTCTTACAAAGTATTGAAAAATTTAGCAGATCTAAAAATAATTTTGTTGTACCATCATAATAATTATGTAAAATGTTCAAGCATGATAATAGTGCTACAAAAAGTTTGGAAATTTTTCTAGCCATCAGTTTGGACGTTCTATATAATTATTTTCCAACAAAATTATATATTTTTTAAATTTATATCTAGCGTAATTTTTAGATATTTCAGTAAAACCATTCTTTTTATGAATATACAAACTGAAAAAAATTAAATTTGTAAAAGAAACGGGAAAAAATAGGATTTATTTCACAGAATTTGTTAACGTAATTACGTCTTCTTTATTACGTGTAGTAACGCAATCACGTTTCCGAGTTGGTTATATTTTTCAAGCGCAGAATAAACGAACAGCGCTTGAGAAAAGAATTTCGTACAGCAGCTCGAGAGCTGTCTTAGCGAATTAGCGAGCTAAAAAACGTTCGTTCCGCGAATGGCTCCATTAATCTCCTGATATTATTAGCCCCTAAGATCCCTCAGGTCTGATTCACGTGCCACTCCTTCGATGTTATCCACGAGCGGCCGCAGAAACGATCATTACGCCACTGATCGACGCACACGCGTGTACGCGTGTATAGCGCCGTGCTTGAGAACGGTTGAGCTTGATGTTAAAGTGTATCGCTCTCGGAACACATATCGAGACCGCGGGGGCCACACACTGGGACCATGCGTGGCAATATGGCGTTTGTAATGTAGTACACGATTGCGAGTGCTCGCTCGCTCCAGAACGCAAACGAGGCGAAAAATTGTATTTCGTCTAATTCTCTACAACTTGCTTGATTACATCTCCAAACATAACTTTAGCGAAGATTATATCGAGTCTCTTTATAAATTCTCAATAAAACGGAATCAATGTAGAATTACTCGTATTTTTACTGTATAGCTATATGTAACTGAATAGTCTAGTTCTAATTATTTCATAGCTT